CTGGGGGCTCCTGGAACTCGGCAGAAAATCGTACTCAGCGGGCGGGGTGGGGGAGGCACTGCAGAGTGGTGGGGGGCGGCCCGAGGGGATAGGTATACCTCTTTACCCCACTCTCCTTCCTGTCCTTCTCCTTATCTTAGCAGTTCCTTCTTTTTGAGCAGGTTCATTTTCTTTTCACAATATTTGTTGTACCCTCAGCTTTTATCTACTGTTTCAGGTTCTTACATTAAAGAGATAATATGATGTTTGCACATGTAAGTTTGACTTATTTCACTTAAGAGTATGGTCTCTAGTTGAATCCACTTGCCAATAAAATCCTCAAATTTATAATTTTCTAAATGTATTTGGTGCAGGGTCTCACCATGCAGCTAGCCTTGTAGTGATCCTCCTGTTTCGGCCTCTCCAGTGCTGGGATTATATGTCTGTGCCAACATGTGTGGTTTCAGCAGCTGGCCTGGTGCACGTGGGGCAGACCAGCATGGCATGTGGTACTGGGGGTGGAACCCGGGTCCCTGTGCTTGCCAGGCAGGTGCTTAGACCTCTGAGCTATCTCCCCAGCCCAGATGTCAAAAGAATATGGACAAACCCTAGGAACCATTCAGGAACATTCCTTTACCAGAACTAAGAGGTCTGTTATTTTACTGACGACAGTTGGACCACCTGTACATCAGCCTATGGGATTTGAGACCACTGGTTTCTGCCGGGTGTGGGCAGCAGTGCAGAGCTCAAGCTCACCACTTGACTAACCACGTTCCCATTCAGGACCACCCTGTCCGATTTCACCCTCCAGACCTGGCCTCCCACAACAAGATACTGGTCCCATGAACTTCCTGGTCGGAGGCCAGGCCTTCCACAGAGTCCCAGGAGATTGCTATTTAGTTTTCTCCATTTACAAGCCTGTCTCCTAGTCTGTCTCTCACCTGGTCTCTGCAGTAGAGTAGTGCTGCAGTTCTAAAGCAAACCCTCCTGAGTGTTGGTCCTCAATCCAGTTGGCCTGTGCTCTGTTGTCTTGTGCTGAGGAGACCCCAGAAGTCAGGGTGGCATTGGTTGGTGGTGGGGCATTTGGTCAGTTACGCAGTCCTACTTGGGTTAGAGTGCTCTGTCCGTAGTGAGCAGCTGGACCACTGTCAGTGTCACTGTGTCTTCCCTGGTGCCAAAGTGAAGCTCAGCTTCAGCATCAGCATCAGCATCAGCCACCACTTCTGGTCACACAAAAAAGCATGACTTCTATTATCCACTCTCCTCTTTATTCAACCACTATTAAAATTAATGATGCTTTAGCAGATGGCTTCTTGTTTTACTTTGTAAATAACCAACCTCCTCCTTACTTATCTTTTCCAAGAATTTTATCGTGAAGTAGAGGAAATTTGCAAGAAGCACATGAAACAAGGTAAAGTGTAATACAGTGACAGCCAGTGAAGATCAAGGCTAAAACCCATGTAACTTGTACCTAGGTCAGGAAATGGAACATCGCTAGCTCCCTGAGCCCATGTGCCAACAGGCACTCTGAACACTTTTGGGGACCCAATATGGCCTTTACAATGGCTCATATAGTTACTAGTATATGGTAGGAGCTTGATAAATTTCTCCCATGGTGTATTTAATGATTTATTTGATATGCACTCTTTGATTTCAACTGGTCATGTTTGATGTCTTTTCTTTTGCACTTCTGGGAAATTTCTCCATCTCCTATACCCTCAGATTTCTAGAAAATGTATATGCCTGGATGTAGGGGTAGAAATCTCAGTTTGTGATCTTAACACAGAGGTGTGGAGAATGTTCCCTCCTCTTTGGGTGCAGTCCAGGCTGTAATATGGGGTGTAGTGGGCAAGGAGGGTGGAGGAAGACTGCTTGGGTATCTTTTGTACTTTTCAGTGCTCGATGGCTTGGAGTGTGGAACTTACGTGCTCTGTGTCTGTGGATGCAATAGGAATCTAGATTTTAAGTCTTTCTAGAATTCTTCTCATGATTCTTTTTGCTTTTGTCTGAATTGCAATGATACTATTAGGCTGCATAGAATTCTCATAATTTCAGTTTTAATACAACAACAAAAGAGAGAAATAAAGGCTGTATTTTACACTGTCCTTTCTACCTCATTGCAGCTGAGATTACCGCACAAAACAAGGCAGCAGCATTTTTCCTGGCAGACTTAATGGGAGCGATGCTGATAGAATGGTTTTGTTCCACTCTGGGACAGGCCGGGTCTCTTTAAGTTATCTCAGGTGGAGTCATGGCAACAACATGGGTTTTGGAAATAGCTTATGTGTCGCCTGTGACTTGGCCATGTGATGGCTGTGTGACCTCAACACAGCCTTGGTCTCCACATTTTGTACAGAAAACAAAACTGTCCTGATTCCTGTTTTAAGAACATTAAGTAAGCCACAGTGCAGAGTACATAACCACGGTTGGCTACCCTCATGCGTGGGCCCCCTTCCTGACTCCGCCCCCTGACCAGTCCTCCTTCCTGCAGAGCCCGCCACACCTCCTTCTGCACCAGCGATGCTCACGTCTGCACCTCCAGCCCTGAGCGCTATTGGGAATGGGGGAACCTGGTCTCCAAACGCAAAGCAGAATTTGAGAGGAAACTGTGGCAGAGCGCTGCAGCTTGTGGGAAGTGACCAGGAGCAGATGCCCAGGGGCACCACGTCCAGATGCTGCTGTGAGGAGCCAGGGGAGGGGAGGAGCTGATTTTCTGTAACAGGAGCTGCTGAGCGCGCAGTGTGGGCATTGGGGTGAAATAGTCCATACTTTTAATGCTCAAAGAGAGTGAAATCTAAAGATTTAAAGATAACAGTATAAAATACAAAATCCATAGTCAGCTTGGATTTCATGTATATAAAAACAGCTTTTGGAAAAAGTTCTGCAAGTTTTGTTTTGGTTTTCACAATGGAGATGCATTTTCTGCTGTATGAATTATTAGACCGGGAGGTGTCTGTCGGTGAGGCGATGACCGCAGACTGAGGCGCTGTCCCGTCGTCTACTTGATGCCTTCCAAAGGCTAAGCGATCTATATGGTTAAGGAATATTCACTATGAGTGCAAAGAAAAGGTTGGAAGTGTATTAGATGGTAAACTTTTAATTCTGATGTTCTTTGTGTCTCATAATGAAAATGGTAGAGCAGGCTCTTAATAAGTACAAGGTGAATCGGTGAGAGTGGGTCCCCTCAAGCAGATTCACAGTTTCCTCACCAAGAATAGCCAAGAATAATGGCTCCAGATTTTCCGGGATGAAGGGAGCAAACATGGTTATGGGGAAGAGCGATGAAGTGGGGAAATCGCACAGGGCGGTCCAACAGGCACCACGTGCAGCGTTAGGATGTCCTAGTAGTTTGATATTTACATTTTCATTTTTCTTGCTTACCTTTAATGGTAATGAATTTGTTTACTAATTGATTGATCACCAAAACTTTCAATCAAAAGCAATGGCAGAGATAATTGTGCATATTTTTAAAGGAAAATAATGGGATGTGATTTTATTTATGATGAAAAGGAGACGAGAACTTCATTGATGAGAAAAGTGCATCGAAGAGCAGAGCTTCAGAAACGTTGCAGAGCAGTTTCGTGGCAGCCACACCCTGGTGGGCAGCTGGGGTCTAGCCCAGAGCCAGCCTCTAGGGCTAAAGAAGCAGAAAAATCCTTGTTCGAAGGCTCCTCTAGTCCTTGTGGTCAGATCAGGAGCCCTGTAAGGGTAAAGAAAAAGTTACTCCAGGTTGCTGTTTCCTCTTCCCTGATATCTCAGGACAGACGATGATGGTCTTAGGAGATAAAACTCAGCCTAATTTAAAAAAATATTACCCATCCCAGTTTTTTTTCCTTAATGACAAAATCTTCTTTCCCCAAGTTCATCCAAGGACTGAGATTGAAATGTTAAGCCCAGGCCCGAGGCGCTGCTCCCTGTGGTCAGTGTCACAGGGCACAGCACGCAGTCACACTTCTCCACCACCCGCTCCCTGGACAGAAGCAAGGCAGGGACTTTACCTGCTTATCGAGATCCTCGCTGACCTGAAATGAAAGGAGGAAAGGCAGTGAGTGCATCCAGCCACAGGATTCAATCACAGTGTGTTGTGTCAGCACAGCCCTTGGGGCATGCTGAGAGGGCGATTGAGACTGGAGGCTGAAAACAGGAGGATCACTATGAGTCTGATCTGTGTAGTGAGGCCCTGTGTGTAGACCTTGTAGTAAATACATAAAAATAATTCTCATCTCAAAAAAAAAATAAAATAAATAAATCCACCGTGGATGCTGAGGGAAGCGCTCCCATCCCCTTCGCTTGGCCCCACGTGAGTCTGAGTTTCTGAAATCCTCATGCCTCTGGTGGGTTGAGAGCTCAGCCTGGAGATTCTTCTCTCCCTCCTCTTTGTTTTGACAATTTAATTTCAGTGGCATCTAAAACTGTATGGCATCACTTTTCTGTCTCATCTCTTGTTGTAGTGAGGGGTAAATTGTGGAAGAGACAAGCTCCAGCCCTTCCTACCTTTCTTGCTCCTGACGTGCATCACAATGCTGACTGCAAGGAAGATGAGCCCCAGCACGAAGCCGCTAACTCCAGTCAGCTTCTTGTTCCGGGCTGAGTCGGACTGAGCCCCTGAGAAAATCAGAATCCAGTGTTAGTTTCACCTCTCTGGGAACATCCCTGCCCATGTCCTGTGTGAGAACCCAGAGACTGATGTGGAATATCAGCAGGAGGCGGTGAGAAGGCGACACGCTGAGTCCCGAGTTGCAGACTTAGGCTGGTAACTTCAACTAGAGGACAAAGAGAGATTCTGGCAGCTGCCTGTCAGCACAGGCAGAACTAGTTGACAGACTCATAGAGCAGAACAGTTCCTATGTGTGAGGCCAGTCCAGGAGGTGCCCAGGTTTAGTGATTATTGAATCCTCAGCACCCTCTAGGTTAGGAGCGTGGGAGGGAGTCTCTTGTTTCTTGAAGCTCAGAACCACCCTCAAGTACTACATAGAAAATGACGTGGCGCTAGGGCCTAAGTGTGTAGACAGCAAGAGTGGATCCCTGAGCCAGTGTGTGCCCTGTTTTACAGACTGCAGGCTCTGGAGGGTCACTGAAGGTGGGAACTCACTCCACTCCACGGTGACCGGGCTGTCCAGGCTGGGGTGCTCCACATGGCAGGTGTAGACGTCTCCCTGCTGGGGGGTCATTTCCAGCATCACAAGCATCTGGAAAGTCAAGTCTCCGTTATGGATCAGGTTGGTGGACTCGATCCCAGCTGTTTGCTCCTGTCCATTCAGGAACCACCGGACCTCAACATTGCCCGGGTAGAAGTTTGTCACGTGGCAGATGAGCTGGTTGTGGTGCTGCAGGGTCACTTTCTTGGCGAGGAACACATGTACTTTAGGCTGGACTATGAATGGGTGATAAAAGGAATGACATCAGAGATTGTTAGTTTTCAGATAGTTTCACTAAGAAAGTGTTTTCCAGATGTTACAGGTGCAAATGCCATGATTTGGTGAGCGCATGCTGGTTGAACTACAGTAAGGGAAACAGACCCTCCGAAAGAATATGCATGATCATTAATTACATAATGAACTGAGGTTTGGCTCAAGACAAAAGCAGCACTTTGTAACATATTTAGGAGAAATCATAAGTATAAGCCATTGATTACCAGTAATAGCCTTTTGACAAAGAATATTTCTCCAGCTGTTAAACAACCTATTTTTTAATGCTCTACCTTTAGGAAAAAGACACAAAATTGTCTAAAATAATGTCATAAGGTGAAACACAGAAAATAGTATTCTCTTGTCTATCATTTTATATCATAAAATCAAAAGTACATGACACAAGTGTGATGACGGCTTACTTTTCAGATGCCCTATATATTTTGCTCCAAAACCCATAGTTTTCATATTTACAGTAACACTGTGTCTCTCAGAAAATAAGACCTATCGGGGCTGGAGAGATGGCTCAGTGGTCTAAAGCACCTACTTAGAACAAGCTTGGCAAAGCATCAGGGAC